AACTGGACATAACCCTACCTAATATAGTATAATATTGTAGTATATTATATAATATACTACAATATAATATAATATAATATAATATAATGTAATATAATATAATATAATATAATATAATATTATACTGTTCTAACATATTGTATAATCGTTATATTTTTGTATAGTATAGTAAAATATTATATTATACTATACTATATTATATTATGCTATATAACACTATATAGTATATTATATTATAATATGATATTTTAGTATATTATAGTCTATTATAGTATATTATAGTATATTATAGTCTATTATAGTATATTATAGCATATTATACTTCTATTATATTATGTTATATTATATTATCTTATATTATATTATATTATAGTATATTGTATTACTTTACATTATAATATATTATATTAAAATATATATAGTAATATACTATAGAATATTATATTTCAATATATTGTATTATATCATATGAAATTATATTATATCATATCATATTGTATTATATTCTATTATATTGTATCATATTGTGTTATATCATAATATAATAACATAACATCATAATACAGTATGGTATGATATAATATAATATAATATAATACAAAATACTATAATATTATAATACAATACAATATAATACAAGATCAGATAAGACAAGATAATATATCGGTAGATGGACCCTTAGTGTCTTGCACCTCAGGGAGCCAAGGGTCACATGCTTGAAGCTGCACCGTTTGCACAGCCAGCATGGAAGGTTCAGCGTGTAGTTGCAAGCATCGCATACCTCATCGACAGCACTTTGTGCTTCTATTGTATACTATGTTACTGCGCTTTATGTCCCAGGCTATCCTATATTATGCCATGTTCGAGGGATGGGAGGGCTTCGGGTATAATAACATACACATTCCAGCATTTCAGGCGCTATACGCGGCTACCTTGCTAATTAGTTGGGACTTCTTCACACTACGAGTGGCACTTCGAATTAAAGAGAGGCGATGCATCGCCGAGCCGGCTGAAAGGCCGGTTTGCGCCGAAAGCAAACCCTAAAGGAGACCGACCCTATTATAGAACCCTATAGTACCCTTAAAGGAGATCCTGCTGTTAAATTATATAGAGCCTGTAGTACACTTAAAGAGGACCCAGCTATAGAACCCTATAGTAACTATAGTACCCTTAAATTAAAGGAGACCCTATTATGCAACCCTGAAATGGATTTGCTGCCACCGCAGGCAGGTGTGGGACAATGATGGGGTTTAATTAGGATTTGAGGTTTAGGGTTATAGGTTTTCATGCAATCCGAGTTGGTCATGGAACGAAACTTGGATGAGTTGCAGCCATGCTGGCTGGGCGAGGAAAACCGGAAACCCAAAAAACCAACCGCTAGCGGCTAAACCCTAAAACCATTGAGCATCAACGCCACCAGCCCTCAAACCCTGCAGTCGCAAACTCCCCCTCTGGTCTCTCGGCCGGGATGCCCAATGCACGGTGGCTTCCTCTGCTTCGTTGCCTTCGTTGCCTGCTTCCTGTGGCAAAGCCGAAACGTCCCCTGCCTCCCTGAATTAAGGAAACTACGGGTGGGGAGTTTAGGGTATATAGAGCTTCTATAAGGCTTCTATTTGGTATATAGACCTTATAGAAGATGTCCTAGACCTGAAGGCATAGAAACGGCAAGCCCTCAGTCCAAGTTCAGTTCTTGAAAAGATCGACAGATGGAAAGGGTCCAGAAGTACCTACCTAATAGAAAGTAGAGATTCTAATCACAGTAGGAAATCCCGCTATTTAATTCTGGTGTGGGTAAGTACGCCGAGTTCGGAGGTGGTGGCCGCAGAATTCCATACCCGAGGTAACTCGGGTGGGTCGTGCAACGTGCTGCTGTTAGAAAAACTTTGGACCGAAAAAAGCGAAGCCGCTGCAGATGCTGTCACCGTGTGCTGTGTCTACAGTCTGCAGAATAATTGCGGATCCTACACAACTTACCGCGATGCCAGACGCCTTGAAAATCAAACTCTCCGCCTATAAGCCCTGAGCCCTCAGCGCTAAATCCGCTAAATCCCTCGCCTTTCTAAACCCCTCAACCCTCAAGCGACTTAGACCCTGTCAAGACTTCCTCGACAGCTACTTACTCAAAGGATCCAAAGTACCTATATAAATAAATAAATAAACAAATAAATAAATAAATAAATGTATATATATATATAAGAATGCAGGGTTTATATATATATATGTCCCTATTATGACTTGAGAAAGTAGCCTCCGTAAACGTACCTCGGACCTTTTGGGCTTAAGGCTCCCACGGAGCTCGACGAGTCCCCGCTGACCTGTCGGCGGATCGCCCATGGCATCTTACTCCAAAACGGTTTTGGGATGAGGATTTAGGGTTTAGGGTTTAGGGTTCAGGGAGTCTTGGGATGAGGATTTGGGGGTTCAGAAGCTATACCGGCTATATCAGTTACCTGTGCAAAAGTAAGAAAGGGCTTCGGGCTCTTCAGGAACTACTGGCAGCTATGGTAGCCCACCACATAAGTCACTGGCTCTTGGCTTGACTTGAAGCACCATAGATCTCTTAACTTGCAGCACCGTGGACGTCATCTCGTCACAGGGTCTAGGGTGAACGGGCCGAGTTGCACCTGACATTCGTTTCGTTGTAGGCTACAAGAACACTCTCTGTAGACATACACATGCAGGCCAGGTTTCCTGAAGAAGAAAGCCAAATCAATCATCAGTCCCTTCAAGCCTAAAAAACCCTAAGCCAAAACCGCCAAGCCAATCATCAGTCCGTGACGAATCCGAAGGCATGTCAGCTTTGGACTTGTCCAAGAGATCTCAAGTTTACCTACTCACCTCCCACTCCCACGTTCTTGGCCCAACACCTTATGAACTCCATAATCTCCAGACCCGAAACCAATGAAACTCAAGGCCCCGTGTTCCAAGCTTCAAAACCGGCTCAAAGCCTGAAGCCGTAGAAGCTTAAACCATACCATCCTTCAACCTGCAACTCTGAATCCTAACCAGTAAGGGCTCAGGAACCTAAACCCTATAAACCCTAAAGACCTTAGGAGCTTTACCCTAAACCTCTGCAACCCTTGCCATTCCGAAGCCTGGCGCACGTAGTCGGCCACGTTGACGCTTTGCGAAATAACGCCCTGACCCAAAGAGTTGCAGGTACCGTTACGGGGGATACTTTCCCACATCATAGCAAGGATTCCTATTACAGACGCACTGCGTTCTACCACAAAATTCGAAGTACTTGCATAATGGAACGTAGGGTTTCTATACTATAGGAATCCTGTCTTGATTATGATTTGGGAAAGCATCCCCGAGAACAGGACCCAGACCCTTTGGGAGCTTGCCCATCCCCATGCCGGCCCTACGACCCCGCGACAAACAAGGACTGGCCATCTTCTACAACTCTCAAGCCGAACACGAGGGAAATCGATTGCTGACTCCAGAACATGGTGCACTGAAGCCCCATACCTAAACATGATCGAACCCTGAAAACCTCGTTCGAGTCACCCCTTCGTTAAGACCGCTGCAAAACCTCAACTAATGTTATACTGACGGGGCTGAGCGTATCGTTGTAAGTACGTAAGTAGGGCAACTAATTATAGTGATAACATGGTATAGCACATAAAAGGGGACTTGTAACCCCGCTAATTATAACTACCCATGCAATGAAAGGTAGACCAAACGATCGCATGACACTTGTGACCCCGCTTGCGCACTACGTTTGCCGACCTCGCGGGTCGGAGCCTGCCTCGGCTGTCGAGTCCCGGAAGCTTTCCGGGCAGGGGTGAGGCAACAGAATAAAGTCCCTTGCGTATGTATTGGGCTAGAAAAAAGTCATCAAGCTTTTCAAACCCCACCTCAACCTACCAGAACCTACAAACAAGTAGGGTCCTTATAATGCCCATATTCAAGTGCATAATCAGAACCTATACAGACGTAGGTTTGGGTAGTTTTAGGTACGGCCTTGCGACAAGTCCTGCATCCCGAAATTGCAAACCGTTAGTGGTTAAAGGTACCACAAGGTCTTAGGGTTTTGGTGTAAGGGTGCCATGTACCCAAGACATCTCGCTAACACACCGTGCAAAGAGTGATCAAACACTTGCAGAGAGAGTCTTTTGCCCGGACTCTTGGAATGGCCTCGCTGTTGTCATGCAGGCGGCATCTGGCGGAACCTGTCCTGTGCAGTTTAAATAGCACAGCATTCAGTCGGCCAGTCGGCACCATAGGTGCGACGCCTGCGGCCACACCTACGCACCTATAGCCCTTCAGCCCATCAAAAAGGCCCTTCCATGCTGGTCTGCAGAATCGTCGCGAAGATCTGGTCCCAATCGGCACGGCTTCTCTGCCAGCCACGGCGCTCTGCTTCTCGGAATTCCCCACGACTTACATCTTCGCTAACATTTGCAGTGCTAGAAACTCTCTGCCATTGCGGAATCAAGCCATGCGATTCAATGCACAACCACACTGTCTTCACAAACTTGTTCACCTGCTCATCGCTGCCGTACCCTTTTCCCAGTGCATGACACGCAGGCTCGCTATAAACGAACATGATGCAGCACTTGTCTGGGATCCCGACAAGCACATACAAGGGGAGAATCTGCACGACGATCTCCATGCAACATGTAAATGTATGCACGGCGGCTAGCAAAATGCCTGGAACGAACCCGGAAGCGTACAAGACCTTGTCACGGACCCCTGCCACAAATCGCCGGCCGTTGAGGAAAGCTGGTGGGTTGGGATTCCCCCAGGCTGGCGCAGTATCCGCATCCTTGATCTCGAAGAGAGCTGGTCCTCTAGCTGAAAGCAGACATCCGCATTGATGATTGATCTCGACGACTCATTCTCGGAATGCACAGTGCGGGGCGGTGAATGCTGGAAACCGTGTCTCAAGAAGGCGATGGCCGACTTCAACCCCACGCTCAGCTTCCACTCCTTCTGATTTCTGCGTGTCCAATCAGCAGCTGCATGCTGGTAGAAAGGGCCGATTGGTGCTGCACCGGCCTTCCCGAACAAAGACTGCGCAAAGAAGTGCAACTTGCCAGCGATGGTGGCCGCCTCTGTGGGCTTAAACTTATCATCAAGAACTCCACCGCCCAATTCGAACACAACTCCTTGCATCACATGACTCCATGCTGGTGGCTGCTTCTCTTGACACTTCACGTCGAGGTTCCTACAGATATCCTGCCTGCTCTGAAAGGCGCTCTCGGCAGTGTCGGACGTCTCGCAAGAGCCGAAATCATCGACGAAGTGAAGTATGTCGAGGCACCAAAATTAGCGCACGAGGAAGCCATGTCATGAGATCAGCTACTCTGCAATATGGCCACACTGAGGCCGTGCTGACAAGCATCAAAACCGTGTGTCGCCGTAATGTGGGCCGTAAGGTGTCATGAGAATCACATACGTGTGCTCCGACTCTTCAACAGGCAACTATCTATATGCGGCTTAATGATGGTCTTCGAGCGTCACGAAGGCAGAGATGTCGTGGTAGCAGGGCTGTCGTCGACACCGACGGTCTTTTTGACACCAGAGCGCTTCCAATCCTCAGCTCGACGGACCTTAAGCTGACCAACACTGCCTGTTTGACGCACTGCAAAGGCAAAGCAACAAGGAACATGCGACTGCGGCCCAGGAAAAAGTGCTGCTGTAGAAGGTCTTGTTCCACTCGGGCGGTGCTGTAAAAGGTGCTTCCACGGAGCACGTCGTCAGCATTTCCTAACTGGGGTCGACTTTCCCGTTACGGAGCTTCTGCTGGACCATCTCGCGGTTGTCGGACATGAACTGCTCCATGCTTGTTGGCGAAGCGTACTCGGCGTCCTTCCAGACCCACCGTCCGGGCTCCAAGTGAGGCACTGTTTGCGCTTCATGGCATGGATAATGTCTTCTTCACAACGCCAATGCATCCAGGGGTCTGCCTACTTTCAGAGAGGTGGACACTTTCCAAAGATGGTGGCACGCCTGGTCCACTCAATTGACAGAGGCGAGGATTCCCGCAGAGCACTCGACGGAGCGCGGCTAGCTCGATTTCTCGCAGTAGAAACCAAGATCGTCGAGTGGACCTGTGTCCTCCGGCTTTGAGCCCAACGGCGATCTTGTGGATCACATTCTGGGTCATGGGCATGAGATTGATTGCCCACGCCGACGCCAATATGACTCTAGTGTGCGAAGACGAGCTCCGTGGGATGCCCTAGCGCTGCTAGCCCAGATGTCCTTTTTGTACCTTTCTAACATGCCATTGCTGTTCTGCGGCTTGATTGCCTCTTTTGCTCTCTGCAGCAAGCCTCCTGATGAAAGTTGGGGGCGCGGCATGTCTCCACGGAGCTTCTTCCGCGGCTTCTCCATCTCTGCATTCACAATAATGGAACCGATGTCGAGGCGATGTCCCCTAGATCCAGCGAAGTTCTTTCAGAACACAAAAATCAAGACTGCCTCCGCATTGATCATCAAGTCGGATCTGTCGCTGCGTAAGGTCCAGGCACCTATGAGTTCCTCGAGAAAGGTGACGCCTGCTGCCTCGAATTCCTCGAGGGCTGCTTGTGCAAGGCCTGCAACAGTGTTCTGGTAACTGAAGCTCATGGCGAGCTGCTTGGGGTTCCCTGGCCGGCGAAAGTTCGTTTACTTATTGACAGATCCTGCTGAGACGGCGATACATGGCAACCTACACAATCATGCATCAATCGCAGGACGATCTGCATTCCAATACCCGACATCATGCAGCAAGTCAGTCACACAATCCGTAAAGCTGTGCTGCTACTTTCACAACGACTGTGCCACGGTCACCATATGGTCTTGCAAATCTCTTTCACCGACACTGCGGCACTGGAAGCACATTCTCCAAGCACGGAAAAACAACCGGCATTCGATCAGACTCTTGCCTACTTGTACTGTCTCTGTCGTAGGGCATCAACTACGAAGCCACCGTAGAAGACGAGTTTGATGGCCGCTGTGCGCCGATGCCAGCAGCCGCCCGTTGTTCAGCTGCTCACAGTGCACAAGCCCCAGCAGTCATTGCACGACGAAGGGGGTGCGAAAAAGGACCGAAAGCTTCACAGTTCTGAAAATCCAGGTGCTGCGGTGTTGATGCTCGTCCATGTCATTCGGTGCGCAAGTGCGCACCACGTACTAGACAGCCTGAAGTCTGAGCTCCAGTGCATGCATCAACTGCTATGCCCCACTTGCTCTGGCCTGCCCCTGAAATGATCTCACAACGTTCCTGTAACTATAGTCTCCATTGTAGTTCCGTTTTGGGGTTAAGTCATAGGACTACAAATACAAAAGCGGCTAAGGCAAAACAGGAACTACAATGGAGACTAGAAGGCACGGCAGCAGTGTTGGATCCGCGACATCATCCTCGACATCGCCATGCCCATCATTACTATCGGTGATGCCACCAGCGAAAATCATGAACACCACCACACTGCATCTCCGTCAAGTCCATCATGCGCATGAGCCTGGTATCAGAATCTGAGCTCGGCACGCTGCTTTCGGAGGAGCAGCGCCTGCAAAACAGAACGCGGAAGCTCATCAGCAAGGGAGCTTCCACCCCAGGGACCGTATTTAGGGTCCCTTTTTAGGTCCCCAATATAGTACGGCACCCTTATAAAGAGGCCCCCGAAAAGGGAGACTAGTTTAGAGAACTGCCCTGATTAAGAGCAGCATGAAGAGGTCAATACAACCCCCCACCTTCAGCCTGCGCCTGCATCTGCTGCGGGCTCTCCTTGAAAGTCCAGCTGACAGGGTAGAAGTTGGCAGGAGCCAGAAGAGCCCTGCGAAGATCAATTCCAAAGATCATCGAGCCGTGAACCCTCCAAAGCCCTGAAGCAAAAGAGCCCATCAGAACTGCAACCCTAACAGCTCTGCCAAACCCCACCGACAAGAACTAACCGAAACCTACCTACAAGGCGCCAGGATTCCCACCCCACCCCAATGGCTCCAAGAATCCAAAACCCGAAACCCAAAACCGTTTTAAAAACTTCGACACCATCTAAACCCAATAGGAGCCACAAAAAGTCTAAAACACCCTATAAGCCAACACATCCTATAGATTCTCTTTCCCAAAGGATCTCAAGTACCTACATAGAAGAATGTAACGTAGGGTTTCTATATCACGAACCCTTATTGTCATTTGGGAAGCTATCCCCCATAGCAGTACCTAGAGCCCTTTCGGATAGTATCCTTATAGATCCCTTATAAGATTCCTTATCTAGGATCCCTTAAAGGAAACCCTAAGCCCACCCTTACCCTAAAACCCTAAACCTTAAACCCCTAAACCCTAAACCCTAAATCCTAAAAACCCTCAACCCAAAACCTTAAACCCCTAAACCCTAAATCCTAAATCCTAAAAAACCCTAAACCCAAAACCTTAAACCCCTAAGCCCTAAATCCTAAATCCGAAAAACCCTAAACCCTAATACTAAATCCTAAAAACCCTAAACCCTAATACTAAATCCTAAAAACCCTAAACCCTCATAGGAACGAAGAGGGCGCCTGTGTGGTCAGAGGGAGAGGCCGCCAGTGTTCCGCAATCGAAGCACCGGCCCTGGTACCTTTTCCCACAGGTTCCACGGCTTAGAGTGTTGGGGTTTAGGGCGTAGGGCTTAAGATGTAGGGCTTTGGGTTTAGGGGTTTAGGGTTTAAGATTTTAGGGTTTAGGGCTTCGGGTTTAAGATGTAGGGTTTAGGGTTTAGGGAGGTTTAGGGTTTCCTTTAAGGGATCCTGTAAGGACTCCTAGGAGCCTACCATCCCGAGGGGGCCCGAGGTACTTCTCTGGGTCTGGGGAAGACTTTCCCAAACCACGGTTGATGATAAAGATCCTGCACGGGTTTAGGGTTTAGGGTTATAGGAATTAGGGTTTAGGGCTTAGGGTTGATGATAAAAAATCCTGCACTACCCATAACAAGGAATATACCATAATTCCCATAGTTTAGGGTCCTTAAGGTACTGCAGGATTTATACCATCAACAGTATCATCGTAATGCCTACGTATGGAAACCGTACATGACACAGGGGATACTTTACTTAAAACAATAGAAGTTCCTAATTGTGGGCACACGACGTTATCTGGCAGATATTTTCTAAGTCAGAATAGCAGTTCTAGTATAGAACTACTGCTCTCTACGATGTAGCTACTGAGGACCCTACATCCTAAACCCTAACCCCTAAGAACTCCAACTCCTGAGCCCTAACAGATCCAACTCCGAAGCCCTATACCCTAAGAGCTCTAAACTCCTAAATCCTAAATCCTAAACCCCTAAAGCCCTAAAGTCTACGAAACCCTATAAACCCTAAATCCTAAACCCTAAACCTAAAGCCTAGAACCCCTCAACCCTGGCAGAAACCCGAATTACGGTGGATGATATAACTCCTGCACTACCCCATAACAAGGAATACGGTTTAGGGTTTAGGGTACTTATAATTCCCACAATGCAGGGGAATGTTTACAAGACAGCGAGACTTAGGACAAAGTGCTGCAAGCACAACATGCGAACTACAGACATTACAACAAAACCCCTTGATGCCCTATAAGTTTATCCCAATTAAACCCTAAACCCCAAAGCCCCAAACCCTAAACCCCAAAACCCTAAAACACCCCCAAATCCCCAAACCCCTAAAAGATTCCCCAGAAGATCCTTAAGAAAGAAAACACAAAAAGAAACAAATTGCCAGGCCGAGGCCGTGGAACTGTTATTAATAATTAGAATAAGGCCTTGGGGTATATGATACTGTAAGTATAATAAGGAACCCCCCCAAAACCCTATTCTAATCATTAAGGTCCCTACATTAGTATATAGGGTCCGTTAAGGCAATGCAGGATTTAGATCATACCCCCAGAGACTCCAACATCCCTTAATTAGGGAATATACCTTAAGTTATAATAGGAACCCTAATAGGATTTAAGGTATATTCCTTAATTAAGGGATATTGGAGTCTCTGGGTAGGGCCCTTGGGGCTTCCAAACAGCGACTCTGCAGTCTCTCTCTCTTGGGAGTTAGGATTAGGGGGACCCTGGGGGATATAGGTTCAGGGTTTAGGGTTTAGGGTTTAAGGTTCAGTGTTTAGGGTTTAGGGTTTGAGGTTTAGGGTTTTGGGTTTAGGGCTGTAGGGTTCAGGGTTTAGGGATTAGGGGGACCCCTGGGGGATTTAGACCCTCTCAGAGTCAATACGGTCCCTTTTAAGAGGGCCACAAGTGGGGTTCAGAAGGGTCCCCTTTAAGGGGTCTCCCTAATACTGCCTAGGATCTCTCTCTTCCGAAGGGCAGGGGTTTGGGGCTTAGGACTTAGGGGGTTTTCGGTTTTAGGGTTTAGGCCTGTAGCTGTTTAGGGTATAGGGGTTTAGGGCTTAGGGGTTAGTATAGTTAGGGCTTAATGGGTTTAGGGGTTAGGGGGTTGGCGCTTTAGGGTTAGAGGTTTAGGGGTTGGGGGTTTAGGGTGCAGGGTCCCGGGTGTAGATTTAAGCGGTCCACATATATACTGTCATTGTGGAACTTGGGGTCTGTGCCGGAATGAAAACCATGCTGCATCTATTTTACAAGTTTCACGGCTGAATAGCGATGCTGCTTACCATTATTCCTGTGATCTGCTGCTGAAATTGAAGCATGCCTCCAAACGCTGACACTTATTGGCCGTACAGAATATTTAGGCTGTGGCAATACAGGGGCCTTAGCAAGTAGAATAGGGTTTTGGGGTACATTATACTTTTCTTCCAATAAGGGAACCCCCCAAACCCTCTTCTAATCCTTAAGGCCCCTACATCAAGGTAGCTCTCTAAACCAGGGTCCCTTTTGGGGTACTTTTTATAAGGGCGCCGTACTATTTGGG